GGACGTAGAGCTGCATTGTTGCTACAGAGAGAGTACCTCTCCGGCCCTCCCTCCTCTCTGTGCGGTGCAGTTTCTGCATCTGATCTCGGATCTGTTTTGCTGCAGTGTGGTGCACGGGGACATCTACAGGCCGAACGCTGGAACTGCAGGGACGAGAAGCACTGCAGTCTTCTCCCCTCCTCCTCCTCTTCCTCCTCCTCCTCCTCCTCCCTCCACCTTCAGCGGTCCGGGTGCCCCCACTGACCTCCAGCTGCTCTGTTGCTTTCTGTTCTTTGTTTTTCCAGAAGTGCAATAGAAGGAGAGTTTAGGATGGTTCCTTTAGTGAATCATATAAAGGAGGAGAGGACAGGAAACGAGGAGGAAGGAGAGGAAACCTGTTCACCTCTAACCAACCCTGGACTGGGACAGTTCTTCATTCACAATAAAAAAAGAAAAAACTCTAAATAAAGGACAGCTTATTTTTAGAAGCTGAGAACAGGACGTCTCTAAGTCCCCAAATAGAAACCCTTCTAAGTCTGACACCATTTTACGATGTGTGAACTCCATCTCTGATCCAGATAGACGTCTCGGCTCAGGCCGTGAAAACCAGACAGACGTTCCTGCTGCAGAGGATCTGGGACCACAAATAGAGAAAAGTCTGTCCTTTAAGACTCGACCTTAACCGGCGAGCCACAGCTGACAGGAGAGGAGGGACAAGGCGAGGAGGCTGTCCAGCCTGGGACCAGCAGCCAGAGCAGGATGTGACTCCCATACTTCACAGCAGTCGTATCTAATGCGCCTCCTATCAGCCCCTGCTGGTGGCACGGCGTCGGCACAGGGCTGGAGTGTGAGCAGCACAGCAGCAGTGCAGCAGCTCCGTCTGCTTCAACATCACGCCACATCTGCAGCGACGGCTACGAACCCTCTGCGGATGTCCACGCCAAGCCCGAAACCCGCGACCGCTCAGGCAGCAGCACACGGGCGCCGAGCGTGACGGACTCAACGTGCATGTGTGGAGCGGGTCGATGCAGCAGATCAGTGTGCTGCTCAAAGTCGGTCCATGTGTGCACAGAATCCAGAACCTTAAAGCTCAGGAGCAGGACTCTTAATTATACATGAACGGACGTCACATTCAAGATTCAGGATGGGTTAGGGGTACTAACCCTGTGGCAGATGAAGCTCCATCTCTTTCTTCTTCTAAATCTACCTTGGCAGTGACACTCCTAACTACTAACTAACTACTAACTGTTTTAGTTTGTCAGAGCTGAAGACAGAAGCAACCAGAGCAACGGAGCCAAAGGAAGCTCCAGCAGAGCATCGAGGTGTTTCTGATGCTCCACATAAACATCTACCTCAGATTACAGTCTACAAAGGAAAGCAATGGAGGAAGACATCGTAGAGCATCCCACAGCTCCTCCCTACTCACCCCACCTGGCTCCGTGGGGTTGGTTCCTCCTCCCCAAGCTCAAGGGCTCATCAAGGAGACCCGTTTAGAAGACGTGGATGACATCAAGATGGCTGTGAGGACGGAGCTGAGAGGATCCTGAAGAATCCTTCCAGGAGTGCATGGCGGCCTGAAGAGAAGGCTGGAGGAGGGTGGTGGACTCCAGGAGGGTTACTGGGAAGGAGAACACTGGTGGTCTGGGTTTGAAATCTATCTTTTGTGACACCAGTCCTGGAACTTCTCGGACCTCGTGACTGCCTCCAAAACCTGCCACCGTTGGACTGAGCTGGGCTGAGTAATGAAACCAGTAATCTAACCAACATCAAGTAATTAGTAACTTTATCAATGAGTAATTTAAACAGAAAATAAGTAACTTGGCCAACAAGGTAGAAACTGGACAGAACCTACAATGTGGGTTCTGTGTTGAGTAAATGCACATTTGTTCATAAATGTCCTCAGAATTCATTAAACTCTACTAAAGACACATGTTTTGGTTTAACTAATGCATGGATGGTGTTTAACAGCGTGTTACGTGAAACACCTTCAGACAGGAAGAGGACTTGATCCGAATGAGACGTCCTCACCGAAGCAGCTCCCTGTGCTGTTTACGTCTTCTAATAACAAAGACAAACTGCAGAGTAAACTTACTTTTCTCACAACATCCAGAGACGTGTTGGGCTGAGACTGGAGGTGCAGCCAGATGTTTGTGACGAGGAGCTGCAGATCTCCAAGATGCCCGCCGGAGGCCGTGTTACATCACCTGAGAGCGGCGTGTAGAACAGGATGCCCTAACCAGTGTTTTCTACTGCACAGCCATAATAAATGAGCAAAGAGGAGCACAAGACGCTGCTGAGGGATCAATAATGGATGAACAAGGACAGACAGACAGACGCAGTCAGAAAGAGAGAAATCTCACACAACAAACCACAGCCTGCACACGTGACTGTTAGCGTCACACACTCATGTAGCTGCTTCAGGAAGTCTTCACATCCTTCACTTTCTGCACGCCGACAACACAGCCAGGGCTGATAAAAGGGACATTACAGTTTGTTAAACAGCACTGACATGAAGCTCCTCGCTCGGGTAGTATCATCAGTGAAGCACGGCGGCGGCAGCATCATGCTGGGAAGGCGCTCCTCTGTGGGGAACGGGTCAGAACTGTGTACTGACCTGAAGCTGGGTAGACGGTTCTGACAGGAAACAGCCAGACAGCAGCTTCACCGACGTCCTGGTGTGACTCCGTGGACAGTCTGTGGAGAGGAGCTGCTGGGAGAAGATCTGTCAGCCTCATCCAGTAAAACGTAACCAACAACAATAAAGGCTGAATACTCGCTAACAAGCTTCACCCACTTCAGAACAAAGAGTGCAGTCTGGTGTTGTGACTTACTATGTAATATTATGATCATTTTTTAAAAGAATAGTTTCTCATTTGTTATATATCTCAGGGTTAGCATGTGCAGCCCACAGCAGATACCTGCAGAGACACTGAGCGGCTGGAGGACCACCGCCGCTGCCCTGGACTGTCCACAACACGTCTTCCCCACTCGTTCATTACCAGACCTTTAGCACAGCGGCTTATAAAAGTCTACAAACTGCATTTTAAACTCTGGAAGTGGGGAGAGTGTCTCACTGAGATAAATAAGGACAAGTCTTTGGTTTAAATGCATGACGGACTGGACCACATGAGTCCATAACAACGAGGCCTGAGTGAGCTGAGGCCTGGACTGTCCTGGAACACCCCCACCTGTCCGTAATGCCATCTGAACAGATCACGTCTGTATAAGTGTCATGAATGGAGAAATCCACTACAGGGACCAAAACAAGCATCTACTCCCTTCTGATTATGTCCATTCAGCATCAGCGTGACTCCATCAACAGCCAACAACCACTTGTGCGAGCTCGCCTCTCCTCCTCCATCCTCCTCCTCCTCCTCCCGTCCATCAATCAATCCCTCTTTTGCTCATCCCTTGTTACCGGCTAATTAATAAAACTAGCCTTCTCTGCTAATTGTCTACCGTTTATAGGACCGCCAGAGACACCAGGGAGCGAGGAAGAGCAGGAGAGAGAGACGGAGAGGACGATAAAGAAGCGAGCGGCGGCGGTGTAGGGGTATAATTATGTTAAGCCAAATCACACATGAACTTGATAGAGCTTATTCTTAGCGCTGGGAATGTAGGGAAGTGACAGGGAGGAGGAGGAGGAGGAGGACTGGAGTTTATTTCAGTTCAAAGAGTGTTTAACAGGACGATCTAGTGCTCTCTACATGGGAGAGGAAAGCAGAGGATTAGGGGAAGATAGGAGGACGGTACCATGCTGTCTGAAGAGTCTCATTTACATCGAAGCCACGACACGAGCCAAACTGCCAGATACCGGTTCTGAGTAAAGAAAGAAGGAAAATGAAGCTGAGACACGTCATGACCCGTCACCACCCGCCTGTTCTGCCTCCTCAGGGCTCGGTACCGACAGACGGTCAGACCCGATGCCCTGACGAGTCCTCCTGCACCAGGCCCAACACTCCAACACAAACGAGCCTCGCTGCTCTCTGCTCAGGTCACTCATCAAACCGTCCCTCAGGAGGCTTTCACAACTTCCCTGGATATTTATTCTAGTCATAAATGCAAATGTCTTTTGATCAGTTTACAATACATTAGCTTCATTACATCCAGCCTGTAAAACATACGTCTTCCAAACACTGCTTTAGTCTGGAAGCTTCCTCTGGAGCTGCCGACCCAGTTCAGCCTCTCAGAGTCTCTGACGCCTCAGTCCAACACACAGCATCTGGCCAGCGGAGCTTTTCAATCAGCAGCAAAGTCTGCTATCGAATAGCTGCGTGGTTAGCACCTGTTTGGCTGTTTCAGGGTTTCACGTCCTAAGAATGGAGCGCTTGGTGCTGTGATGCAGCGTTAACACATCTGGATAAGGAGAGATCATCACGAGCACGCTTATGGTGGTTACAGTCCAATGATACGGCTTCATCAACACCCAGATGAAGGCAGGACAGTGGGACGGGGCCCCCTGGAGGCCAGACGCTGGTGGTGTCGGAGCAGATGGATTGTGGAGACGGTGTTGGAGATCCCTGGACAGCGAGGAGACGGAGGGAGGCTGCATCAGAGACGGTCTGGAAGGCAGAGCGACACACTGAGAGTGAATGTACAGGAGGAGGAGGGCAGGAGGAGACGAGGAACGGCGCTGTAACCAGAGTGAGGAAGCAGGAGTGGCGACGAGAGCGGAGCAGAATGAAGCGTCCACAGAGGAGCAGGTGAGCTCACTGAACTCATGCAGGAGCTCCATCTGAAGGCATTATGGGCTAAAACCTGTCGACCACACTACAGAGGAACGCTGAAGGTGCTGCAAAGGAAAGCAGGAAGACTCCCACCAAGTCTGACAAAGTAAAGATATCAGAACATCTGGACAAAACAAACCACAAACACACACAATATATGAAAAGAGCCTTTATTCTTTCTTATATTAACTATAAGAGTATGACAGTCAACAATGATCAGAGTTCAATACAAAACAGTGCGTTGACATGCAGTCAATTACAGATTTCACTTTGTTTTCTGGTGATAAAGCTCCAATCAAACCCACTGGTACCAACCACTCCTGGTTCTGGAAGCTCAAGACCTCCTAATAAATATTCCCCAGAACACACACCAGCAGCACATCGGCGACTCTCACACTCTGCACAAGATGTAAATGTAAACAGTAAACTTTGGTCCTGAATCGGGTCCAAAAGCCCACAGCTGGACCGGGTCAAGTCAGAGAAGCTCCTCTCTGTAAATGTTCACTCAGTCAGTCATTAGTGCAGAAAGTCCTGGAGCTGTTGGGTTTCTCCCTGAAGATGTTCAACATTTAAGGCACAACAGGAAACGGTTTTTAATCAGCTGTTTTTAACTGACAAACGGTATAAAATGACTAATTGGGATGAAATGAGGATGAGGAGCAACAGGGTGGAGTGTTGGTACCGATGTGATCAGTGCAGGGACCTCAGAGGGTCACCAGAGCGCTGAGTGTTGGTACCGATGAAAAAAACATTTAAGAATATTAAAACATAAATCACGTACTGATAATAGGCCAATATTCAGATTTAAATGAAGGCAAAACACCTTAAAACTCATAGAAGCCACATGTCTCGTCTCTAATGTGGCTGATGAAGCACAAATGTCAGAGCTGGTTGGGAAATGAAGCCTGTCGCTGAACCGGCTGCTTCTCTTCACTCAGCCTCATGTCCAGGAGCTGCTGCTGGACATCAGGAGCCTCCTGGACATCAGGAGCATCCTGGACATCAGGAGCTGCTGTCACAGCTCTCAGACATTAAGCAGCCTGATGATGTTTATGAACCTGAGTTGGTGCCGACAGCTTCTATCCCGCTGAGGTTTGTATGATCCAACACTGATCGACTTCCTAAACTTTACAGACATCAGCTACGTCTCCTTCAGAACGAGTCCATAATGCTCACAACACAATGATGTGCAAATACGCTGTAAAGACCTCTGTGACTGTAAACAGTGCAACACGTTACATCAGGAGATCATCCTCCAACACCTGCCAGGTTTAAACCAACGACACCTGGCAAAGCCAACTACCAGCTAGTGTCCAGTCTGCAGGTTCAGCCTCTGGTTTCATGGCGGTACGTGTTCACGAGATCACCGTTTGAGATTTCACTGGCAGCAGCAGGTTCACTAATCTGTCCCTGATTTGTTCATGATAAAAGAATCTCCATTAAGACTGGAGAGGTTCATTTGGAACGAGGTGAATTAAATTAAAATACAGTTTCTGTCTGATGCACGGAGCTCGGCAGGAGGAACTGTTCCCTCCCTCTGCCTACACATGACATCTAAATGTGATACGATAGCTTGTGTTCTGGTTTCTAACCAGCCGGATCAGCTGCCGTGTCCCCGACCAGATTCCTGAAAAGACGAGTCTCTATAGACTAAAATAAGATTATTCTGAGTACTGGTACTGTAATGCTGGGCTTCCTCGTTATGCTAACGAGTCCAGTCAGGGTCCATCTCTCAGGTTAACAGTCAGAGATGTGACAGTAAATGTTTGTGGTCCAGTAGAGACAACAAAGGAAACAGAACACTGAACAGAACGCATTCAGTTACTGGCCATTAACGAGCAACGACTGATGACTGATGTGGCTTCACACCAACCGGACCAACAAACAAAGCGAGCACATGCAGCATTTTTCTGGATCGTAGCTAAGCTAACTCTACGGCAGGCGTCTCGCCATAGCGATCCATCGCCTGCTTTGGTTCCTCTAAGGGTTCCCTCAGCTGCAGACCGGTAACCTGATGACACCGGATCACTGGGTCGCACCAGCATTCAGGAACGAGAAGCGATCAGCTGAAGGAATCCCTGCGGTGATGCATGAAGCTGGCCAGACCGGAGTGGCGCTGCTGCTGCTGCTGCTGCTGCTGCTGCGTGTTAACCGCGGTGAAACCAGAGGCCTTCATGCAGCTCACACTGCCAGTGGTGGATCGTCTCTCCATGATTCCTCCGTCTGACGGCAGCCCAGGACACAGCCTGTACGCTGCCTTAACATCTCATGATTGCATAGGTAACATATGGAAGGTAGTGAAGCAGAGCACTGGAGCGGGTCGGCCGGGTATTTACAAGAACCCTCCTCTTATGGAAACCGTTTAACGGCAACATGCTGACTCTGCTCCACATGTCGTCGTCACATGATAGCCCTGGATAGTATGAATGATTTAGAGCGAGCTGCTGGTAAACACTGGACTCATCTGGTGGTCAGCACCACAGCGACCCAGTCTGGAGCGTGTGTGTGTGTGCGTGTGTGTGTGTGTGTGTGTGTGTGTGTAGGGCTGGACCGACCATCGCTGTGGTGGGATCCAATAGCAACTTTGATATTTGAATATTCGCCCGCTGCACCCCCCACCCACTGTCCTGGACTAGCATTAGCAGCCAGGTGCTGCCCGGTCCGACCCGATATTCACCATTAGACGG